ACAATGGTGGATGTGTCGCTCAATTTTGTGGACTAGTTGAAGTTAGACATTAACACCGTTGGATGCCGGCTCAGTGGTTTAGTTGGTTAAGCGCCTGATGCGAGACTGATAGGTCCTATGTTCGAATCTCGCGGGGGGGGGGCGGGATCGTTATACGATTACAAGTTCATAATAACTTTCTGATCATTATTTTCTATATCATGACTCGTTTTTACATACATTCATTTTTGCTGGCATTTTCAGCATTTTCGTAAGTAAATCCTAAACCCGAGACAATAGGGAGCTAAATCAATTGTTCTATTTCTGATGTATGAGAATGTAAAAGAATGGATATATATGTACAGGTATACAGTGACCCTAGGTCTGACTCCATTTATATCGTATGGATGATTGCTATCGAAAAATATATGTCACTAATTCTCATATATAATCACCAAATTAAGTCGCGTTAGGGAACAAAGGAATTAAATAAGTCAAATACGAGAATGGAGTTTGAATGCATATATTTCCTACAATCGTTGATCAGAACAGACACTCAAGGTGACAGAAAGAACAGAGCAAAAAGGAGAAAGAGAAGCGAAACTAGATGACGCGCGGTGGAGAAGGTATATGAGCCAAGCGTGAATCGATATTTATAGTGGGTATATTATGACTAAGATAAGAAATAAACACATATGCTTACATAAAAAACCAAAATTGATAAGCAAATAATTAGGGAGATCAAAGCGCGACTCAAGAAGGATGAACAAACCAATCTATCCGAAAGCTAGAATAAGTTGTATGGCCTTAACATAGCAGTCGATACTACAGATCTATACTAACCCTAGATTCAAAACATAGATCAGATAAGAAGCAACTCACTTGCCTCCTTAAAATACGGAAAGCCAAAAACCCACAAAACGCAATTTATGTATACTTTGAAAAAATTAACTGACCACTCTTAATACTTTCAGTAGCCATTTCACTTGAGCGAATAGTTGCAGGTTTCTTTGATGTCTTCTTTCTTTTTTTCGCTACAGGAGGCTTCAGAAATGTTGGTTCATCATTATCTGGTTGAGTCACGGCTAATTTTATTTCTTCACCTCCAGGTGAATGAAAAAACTTAATATAAGTGTATAAAATATAAAAAAATTTCAGTACAAACCTGACGAGACTTATGCTTATGTTTTGTTCTATGGCTAGATTCAAGTACTACCACCTCCTCGTGATCAGAATGTGAAAAATGCTTGCTAATAAGTAATTAAAGAGGCCGACAGTTACCTGCTCTTTTTTAGCTGATTCATCCATCAGTGATTTTAAAAACTTATTTAAATAAATGCCGAAGTTATGTAAACTGACAACTGGGACCTTGAAAACTATAAACAAACAGTTTGAATGCCTGAAATCATAATATGATCGAACTAAATAAACAGTGTATTTTTCCAAGGTTTTATGTATCTGGCTAAGCTACTATTCTGCAGATGCAAGTGGTTCACTGTGTGTTTTGACTTTTGTGAGCAATTGGAGGTACAATTCGCTTCAAGTGGTTGTGGACGGAATAGAAGAAGCTTTCGCTTAATAGGCTTCCGTGTCTAGTAGCAGGGGATCACCAAAAACTCCGGGCAGGAACCTAGGTAAGAAATTGGTAAATCATAGTATGATAATATCCGTAATCCTTAAGAATAGATCAAGTTGCCTCTTAAAGGACTCCTGAGAAGTCGCTTGGACCATTCCAGTCAGCAATCACTTCCAGAATTCGACAACTCTTAAGGAGTAGAAGTTTTGTCTACAGTCCGTTCTGCCATGTTGTGTCTCCAACTTCTGGGTGTTACCCCTTAGGTTTGTATTGAGACTAAGCTTAAGTAGATGTTTAAGGGGATGTCCAGAAATGTTAAGGATACTGCGAGCCATTTGAAGGTCACCTCTAAGACGCCTATACTCTAATGGGTTAGGGTTAAGTGATTGGAGGTGCTCTTCATAAGGTTTAAATTTGAGTCCCCGAACTGAGTTCGTGGCTCGCCGTTGGATACGCTCCAGAGTGTCCTTATCTATTTGGAGTGAGGGAGGAAATACTATGTTACCGTACTCTAAATGGGGACGGATAAGACTATTAAAGATCATATGGAAAGTCCTAATATCAAACTGGCCAAAAATGCGCTTCAATGTTACCAGTGCAAAGTTTGCTCGGAAGGCATTTTTGTCACAGCATAAGACTTTAAGTCGTAGGGCACCAGGACTCCCAAACTTTAGAATTCGTGCCCCAGAATAATTAAACTTTTTGTCTTTTGGGACCTGGGATCAGGTTAGAGAATTTTTCAGAGGAAAAGTATGACTACTGTGAAGTTTTTTTCCAGAACCGATGACTAAAACAAGTTAGATATTAAAAGTAGGGTTGATCGTGCCGTCTCAACCCAAGTAATTATTGTCAGCACCTGCGGAACTTCAGTGAGCATCAAGATATCTTTTAGTGCTATAAAACTTCTTGTTTCTATGACAATTAAATCCATAGATTGGTAATTGCAATTACGAAGAAGTTTCCAGGGACAGTTTGTTGCCCCCTCAAATCATTTAAACAAACGTAAGAGAAGAGCATACATTGAGGATCAACTGCCGGATGTCTTCAAATTGTGATAATCTCTTCCTCTAGTAACCTTTTTTATGTGAAAGGGCTTGTAGGTGTTACCTGTAGACCAAAATAAAATGTTAATCAGTCGAGAGTGCCTTTGGACACTTGAGAAAGTGTCCACGTTAGTTCAGTCACGCTAATTTGGTGAGCTGGTTAAGACAACAAGGTTAAACTGATCTTCTATATCTTCATCCACTTACACATATCCAGACACCTATAGGGTCAAGGCTGTCACATTATAACTGTAAAGTCAGTATATATTGAGTAGGGAAACTTAGTATCGCCACGAGTAATAGCGCATGAGGATTTATTTTACAGATAACTAGCCTGGAGAAATTTTCTGAAACCATTGAAACATACTTCTTGGACAAACCTACACATATATGTAGCTTCATTGATCTGTATGTTGGCATGAATATTAACTAATGGGCTGTGTTCTGTGCTAGAATCTCATGAACTGTTATGGAACGGTGGTGACTACGTCAAACAGAACATATAGCGTTTCGGTTCAGTTACCATATAAACCAGCAGTCCCAACTTTGTCAGTTGAGCATATCAAATTCTTGGAATTGTATCTAGAAATTTTATCGTGTAAAGATACCACCGTGGATATCACCTCAATTACGACATTTCACCAATTTGGAATGCTATATAATTTAAGCACTGTAAGAGGTTGTCCCAAACAAATGAAGACAAGATCAAAGTTGAACACCTGCCACCAGACCTCAGAATGTTTGGCATTTTTTTAAACAGAATATCATATACATACACAAAAACAGATTGCATAGCTTCCAGTGTCAGATCTGTAACAGCTTAGGTTGGTTGATTAGGAGTTGACCCCAAACAACCAAGCATATGCCAAAACAGTATTGTTCAAGTATTCATTCACTTTCTTGTTTTGTATAGGCGCTATATTTCCTATTATCTTATACTGAATGTTGAGAGGCTTTGTTTGTCTGAATAGGTAATCCCACGCTCCTCTGTAACTGCGTGAAGAGCGAAATAAAGACCTATTCACTACTTGTCTGGTTTCTTCTATCAATAGCACGAGGGTTACCTTAAGGCACGAAAGATCATTCTCCTAGTTATAAGTTTTACATATGAATGTCCCCAGATTTTCTACTCACCTGTTTTCTGAGGTTGAGTGGAAAATATGGAGTTAGAAACACAACACCTTTCTAGCCTTCACTAGAGAGAACACAACCTGGAACAACTGGTACTCCAGTAAATATGCTATGTAGTCTACCTTGATACCATCGAGTCGTTAATAAAACGTTTAAACCTTGCTTTTGTATCTGTTTTTGCCAACTGCTTTGGAAATTCACTTATCTTCTTATATTTACCTTGAATAAGCCAACTGATAGTACGGGATGCACCCAATGGTCAGTTACGAAAATTTAATACTCGGTAAAACAGTCACACAAGTGCGGGTAATTCCGGATCCATGCTATTGTTTTGGGCTGTCTTTTTGTTTAGAATGTAAAACTAGGAGAGTCAAGACTCTTCTCTGCACTCTCAAACTTGTGTAGCTTATGACCATAACATCTAATGTTGACCCCCTTCATGTTACTCGGCTAATATTCATAGCTAACTGGGGAAGTGACTGCTCATGTAATTCTAAGTCTCAACCACATAACTGACATTTACTAATTCCAGACTTCCGCAACGTGTTTAAACTATCATTGAGAGGAAAACTTAGTTCGTCTGGTAGAGCGTTATAACTGCGATAACCATGGAATTTATACATAACACAGAACCAGTTGTTTGTTGTCTAAGCCATGTTGCTTTCGTCAATTAGTGGTTGGCTTTCACTATCTATTAATTATATAACATACACAGACTTCTAAGTTTGCGACCTTCACATGGATGAGCCATTTCGCCGCAATGTTACCTCAGCGACCCTAATGTCACTGTCGCATAATTAATTAGCATATTGTGATGAGGCGCAACATCTCAGGTCATCCATGAGCTTCTGCTTGGAGGATAAAAATGACTCACTACACTCACTAGTCCAACCGTCAAGAGCTTTACTGTCGAGCCATGGCTTTAAAATATTTACACCTAAGAACTAACAAGTTATATGTATATCCAACTTTTAAGGGGCACATATCTATAGTAGGATGATGTGCCGTACCGCGAGCCATTAATCAGACCGAGTTAATTTTCAACAAGTGGATTCTAATGGCGCAACCTAGTCCTCTGAAGTATTTTTACAGAAGGCTCTCAAAAGGCTTGCCACTCTTCAGCACAGTAAGCAATACTCGGACTGTCTTGTTGAACGGACGACTACTAAATTCTTGTCAATTTCCTAGTTATATCACTTTTGAATTTCTATTTACAATTACTAGTGAGTCATTTTAAAGCACATTATTCATATGAATGAGAAAATGTATCAGACCAATTGAATCACTATACTCATTGTCAGGAAATTCACCATTACCAGTGTTACTTTATGCATATTTTTCAAAGTGAGTAAAATTCAGCAATCCGACTGCTTGCGGAAATATTTGACTACCTGAGCAGAAGATAGTGATTCACTAATTGAAAGCCAAGATCACTGGCAGCAGGATCATGTCACCAGGAAAATACAGAAGACAGGATATTAACTGATAACACAGATGGATGTCTATCTTAGCTGTAAATATTCATCCCATTAAAAATTATATATATATATAGGTTCACCACTGAACTCTGATCAATCAAGTACAAGTTATCCACATATACAAATATAAGTAATACACGGAACAATACTGTTATATTGATAAATCATCAAACAACTGAATGAATATCCAACTGTTGTACAAATAACAATATCGTGTCTCTGATTGCAGTACGTGTACTTTCATCCATGCAGATAATATGACTACCATGATCATGCAAACAAATCAGTGTATTTGGATTTGGCTAAAAAGTAAAAAGACAGAATTAAGCACAGGACCTATAGTAATTGAAAGGTAATAGTATTATCATGTGATGTCAATATAACAAGAAGACAACCACCGACACCTAGACTACCCATATTTCCATCCTTAAACCTCGTTGACAGTGAACGTTTATCGACAAAAGTCGTTTAAACACGCTATACACATGTTATTTTTATTCTTTGATCTGAATTGATTTCCTAGAATATATATTCCACGTACTTAATCTTCCATTTGCAATTCTTTACTTGTCATTTGATTAATGTTCCCTCTCAGTGTTAGTGTGAAGTGCCCCGCCATGAACTGATATGCAATCAAGTTTTAGTTCAAAAATGAATTAGAGGGATTGAAACCCTTAATACAGACTGGAAATAATAATAAAGGTTTTCAATGACATTGGCATAGGTGAACGTGGCTTAACTTAGTCCAGTAGTGCAGTGTATATCTATCGTAATAAGCCAGCTTAAACTTGCTGACTAGTGAGTCTACCCCAGGTGTAGAATTCTAGAGTAACTGATGAAAGTACAAAAATAACGAACTCTACAAAGTCCAGAAGTAGCACTAACTAAATACGATATTTTAAAAACAACATTATGAATAGAATGGATAACCTGTATTTATATCAATGCTAACTTCCCCTAATCGAAAGTTGAGGTTAGAGATCAATCTCGCAAGCATATATTTTCATTGCTTCATGGAGTTACTATGCTGTGTGATTCCCTATAACTAGATTCACTCGAGGTAAAGTGCTATGGTCTCAGTCATTTATTTCGATAACTAGCTGATAATTCATCTTTTTGAATAATAGCTTTCTTCCTATGCCACTTGGAGACCAAACAACTAAGATGGTCTTAATGTTTTTCAACAAAACCATTTTCTAATCATATCTGTGTGCAAATAATAAAGTGCCACACTGAATATTCAGAAAGGCCACTATTCTCCATTAAACAATCTTTAGAGAATATAAGTAAACAAAGATTCAACAACTTACAAATAGAATCACATCTTCGTTTTGTATAGGACCTGACTGCTTATTAGTATTATATACAGAAAATCGCGAATATACTTGACGTGCAGTGCACGAATCAGCAAGATAGGCACCAGTAACACCACGTTCTGTTAACTTTCGTATCAACTCATGTGGGTTTATTCTGCTTGATTCATCGCAACAACTAACTAATATACGTTTTTCAGAATCTAACATATTGGATTTTAGTGTAGAATCTTTAGATTGATCGCTAGCGTTGTTTAACGAGCTTGTTGTTGCTGTTGTTATTGTGGCGGGAACAGAAGTGCTTGTGGTAGTTGGAGGAGTCATAGGTCGTATAATGGCATCTTCAACAGGTCGAATAATATCTGGTTCTAGCTTCTCATGTTTACCAATCAACCAGTGTTTACCTGTAAAATTTATGGATCAAAAATAGACAGTAATACCAATGACAATTCGATAATAACTCCTCAGAGTCAATGAGCCAGAGTGACAGTTACATAACCTGTTAAGTGAGTGACTGATCATCTACATGTTCAGATGGTCAGACGTTATTAAAAGAAGTAGTATTCTGAAATTATGACATATTAAGTTACAAGTTTAGTTTTAACCCAGTGAACTGAATTGCTTTCAATTGACATGTAATATATAGTTCAAACAAGCTGACAACTCCACTGGTCACAGCTTCTCACTATAACTACAGCTGCATCATGAAGTCAGTCACTAGTGGACACGTGATAATCATCAGTATAGGGCGATTCTCATACTACGACAAAACAGTCATCTGGTACCTCTAAGTTTTATAAGGTGGTCTAACTAAGATCAGTTCGTGATTTCAATTATCAAAATCTTACAATCTCCACAAATCCATTGTACTAATAAAAACTATATGTTTAAAATACAAATGATGAATAAAAGGCTATATCTATAAATTTAGTTAAAAGTAAAGAGTAATATGATAACAATAACGTACAAAAAGTCAGCGTAAAACGTACGCTTAACAGCTCAAAATCGTTTGGGATTGCGCAACTGCATTCACTGTATGTCTTTTTTTCGAACCAGTTTCCTTATCGTTTTTTAATTTTTCTAATCCCAATCGTTCTCACTAAACCGTTACTATTCCTACTTCACTTACTTTGGAATTCGTCTCGAAATAATTCTACCTCGCTGTGCTAGTATATTTTGACAACTTGGATTGACGCAAATGTGTGTCATGCTTTAGGTTGTGTATGAATGACAGACGTACAGTTTTAACTTACTCTCAAAATAAATATAAGTCTCATTTACCAAGTACAAGTCTATGGTAATCAGCTTCAAGTTATACTATTTGTATTCAAATGGCTAACGATATTACTCGTCTAATAGATCCGAGACAATGTGGGCATATTTTGAATTTATGATCTATTGCTCGTAGAAAATAAGATTTTCTCACCACTAAACTGTGAATCAACTCCTTCGAAATTACAAGATATGAGACTTGTATACGATAAAATTTTACGGAATAACTAACAGATAATATCCTCACTCACACAAACGGGTTGATAGCGGAGACGATCTCAGACAGAAAGTATGTGAAAACTAGAAACAAAAGAGTGACAAGGCGATTGTGGATAACCGATTTATTCACTTAGCAAGCTTACTACCTAAACATGTTTATCTGGACCACTATAGCACTATGTATTTAGGTGCATGATTAATCAATGTATTCGGTCTTCGATATAAGACTTTTTACTCAATATTAGGCTTTTCTTTTTCCAAAGATGGTTTGGTCAACCGTAAAGAAGTGTGCATAACATGACTAGATCAGACAGGATATCATAATGCAAGTAAATATAGCACATTTAAATGAATATCACAATAAAGAATGAACGGATTGAGCGAAGAAATTTCTTTTCAATTAGTTTTTCATCATGGCTCTACACTAATATATATATACGTTTTACAATAATAATATAATACTCATCGAGTGGATACGTTACGTAATAATTACATAATGACATTTAAATTAACATTGATTAATTGGAAGAAAGAGGATTATTAATATTCAAAGTGATCAAGAAGTTGCTAAGTTGCGTAATGTAAGAAACAAAGAAGGAACAGAATTTTAACGGATGGTCAATAGGATGGTAGTTACGTAAGAATCAAGAGATGAATGATGAGAATTTATTAAGTCCAAAAGCAACAGAAATAAAATTACAAAAGTTTAAAAAAAAACAAGTGGAAGAAGTATGAAAAATAGTTCTTTTGAAGGAAATCTTAAACTGATGGCCAGGGCAGGGAAAGTGGTTGTACGAATCTCTTTTGAATGCAAAGGTCAGGTTTGTGAACATGGATTGCGATGGCTTCCGCAATGTGCAAGAGGCGCACTCGTAAACCATGTGGCAAATTAGATGGGATATTGTAGATAACCTTAAAAGCTTTATTCAATTCGACTTGATGACCTGTGTCAACCAAGTGAGAGAGAATAGAACTTTTAATCACTTTTACCTGTCCTTTGTTTAACCACGACGGATGATGTTCAGTAATGCGATGACGGACTTGCCGAATTGTACGCCCAATATAACTGGCTCCACAGGAGCAGTTGAAACGATAGATACACATAGATTTGGCGAATTCAGGCAGTCTGTCTTTGTTGGCTGTTCTTATCTTAGGATAGTTGTAGAAGATTGCATTTAATCTGGCAGCATTAAATGTTTTTTGTACGGCTCTTCTTAGTTTCTGAGTCAAGGTTTCTTCAATGGTGTCATTTATGAATTGTAGTTTTATGAATAGTACCTTCTTATGGACGGTGGGTATCTTTGTCCTTGTTTTCTTCTCCATCATATGTTTGTCGATGAATTTCATGGGATACCCATTCATGCTAAGTAGGTTCCGAATATTATTCAATTCTTCTTCGATGGTGTCTTCAGAGCAAATCATTCTAGCCCGATGTATCAAGATTTTTATCAAGTTCCTTTTGTATCTGATTGGAACTGCACTATAGAAATGAATGTATTGTCCTGCTGCAGATTTTCTGTGTACCCCTCTTTTTAAAGTTCCGTCTCCTCTTCTTTTTAGTTGGACATCTAGAAATGATATGCTGTCGTTCTGTTCATCTTCTGATGTAAAATTAATTGGTGGATGAACGTTATTAAATAAATTAAGTAAATTGTCCTTATCATTCTCTTTTTCTAGTACTATGAAGGTGTCGTCTGTATAGCGATAATAAGTTGGTAAATGGCTAATTATGCTTTTAAGTGGTCCGTTTTCCAGTTTTGCAAGGAAAATATCAGCCAGTAGAGGGCCCAATGGTGATCCCATGGCAACTTCATGGTAGGCCAAGACTATATGGCCTACCAAAAATACACTAAAGTGGCTTACCCCTTCGACCAGTTTTAGATATGAATAACTCAGCGTATCGTACTATAGCAAAATGGTTGGTGCAAATTCTTAAACCATTACACAAAGAAATTGTCAAGCATAGTGTCAAGGATTGCTTTGATTTTGTTGAGAACATAAAAAATCTATCAGTCAAGAATAATTTCATGTTATCACTTGATGTATCATCTTCATTAGCTAACATTCCACTACAAGAAACAGTTGGTTTTATTTGCAATGAACTAACAGAGAGACGCATAGAAACCACGATTCCAGCATCCGCGATAAAACAATTAATTCTCAGATGCACAATGAATGCACAATTCAGATTTGACAACGAATACTATAGACAGCTAGATGGAGTTGCCATGGGATCACCATTGGGCCCTCTACTGGCTGATATTTTCCTTGCAAAACTGGAAAACGGACCACTTAAAAGCATAATTAGCCATTTACCAACTTATTATCGCTATACAGACGACACCTTCATAGTACTAGAAAAAGAGAATGATAAGGACAATTTACTTAATTTATTTAATAACGTTCATCCACCAATTAATTTTACATCAGAAGATGAACAGAACGACAGCATATCATTTCTAGATGTCCAACTAAAAAGAAGAGGAGACGGAACTTTAAAAAGAGGGGTACACAGAAAATCTGCAGCAGGACAATACATTCATTTCTATAGTGCAGTTCCAATCAGATACAAAAGGAACTTGATAAAAATCTTGATACATCGGGCTAGAATGATTTGCTCTGAAGACACCATCGAAGAAGAATTGAATAATATTCGGAACCTACTTAGCATGAATGGGTATCCCATGAAATTCATCGACAAACATATGATGGAGAAGAAAACAAGGACAAAGATACCCACCGTCCATAAGAAGGTACTATTCATAAAACTACAATTCATAAATGACACCATTGAAGAAACCTTGACTCAGAAACTAAGAAGAGCCGTACAAAAAACATTTAATGCTGCCAGATTAAATGCAATCTTCTACAACTATCCTAAGATAAGAACAGCCAACAAAGACAGACTGCCTGAATTCGCCAAATCTATGTGTATCTATCGTTTCAACTGCTCCTGTGGAGCCAGTTATATTGGGCGTACAATTCGGCAAGTCCGTCATCGCATTACTGAACATCATCCGTCGTGGTTAAACAAAGGACAGGTAAAAGTGATTAAAAGTTCTATTCTCTCTCACTTGGTTGACACAGGTCATCAAGTCGAATTGAATAAAGCTTTTAAGGTTATCTACAATATCCCATCTAATTTGCCACATGGTTTACGAGTGCGCCTCTTGCACATTGCGGAAGCCATCGCAATCCATGTTCACAAACCTGACCTTTGCATTCAAAAGAGATTCGTACAACCACTTTCCCTGCCCTGGCCATCAGTTTAAGATTTCCTTCAAAAGAACTATTTTTCATACTTCTTCCATTTTTTTTTTTAAACTTTTGTAATTTTATTTCTGTTGCTTTTGAACTTAATAAATTCTCATCATTCATCTCTTGATTCTTACGTAACTACCATCCTATTGACCATCCGTTAAAATTCTGTTCCTTCTTTGTTTCTTACATTACGCAACTTAGCAACTTCTTGATCACTTTGAATATTAATAATCCTCTTTCTTCCAATTAATCAATGTTAATTTAAATGTCATTATGTAATTATTACGTAACGTATCCACTCGATGAGTATTATATTATTATTGTAAAACGTATATATATATTAGTGTAGAGCCATGATGAAAAACTAATTGAAAAGAAATTTCTTCGCTCAATTCGTTCCTTCTTTATTTACCAAATGGCAAAACGGGATTTTCCACTATATCACTATAAGTTGTGAAAAAAATTAACTAAGACAGAATAACTTCAATCGATCCGTGATCTTGCGCAACCATTCCTCCATTGTCTGAGGTAGATACCTGTATCTACCCGACACGGATTGGAATCCACTGGCCACGGCCTGGGTTCGAGTCTCGCATGCAGGATCGTGGATACGCACCGCCGAGGAGTCCCGTACTAAGACGAAACAGCCGTTCAGTGCTTCCATGTTTTAAACGGTGGTCTAGCTTAGATCAACTCATAAATTCAACTATTAAAATTACTGCAGTCTACACAAATTCCTAGATCACCTGGATTATTGTCTTTTTATCAAATAACCAGTGAAGGAAACAACTGTTCGACATATATACACTTACCATCTCTAGTAGTTAGCATTCCATTGACTAATGCAATACATTTTCGTTTTTTCTCATTGATTTCACTATCATCAGATTGTAAAACTTTTTGTTCACGTTCTTCTTTATTATCATCAGCAATATTTAACGTACCATCATTTCCAGTAGTAGATAATTTACGCTTTATTGTATCATATTTATTATTTGACTGATTAGCATCAATTTGTAAAGATTTTATGTCAGTTTTCTTTTCAGTATCATTCTCTTTATTATTATTATTGCTGTTGTTTTTATCTAATGGATTATTTGATCCTATTAATTGATCATATTGTAATTTGATACAAATAGGTTTAATGTTCTGTATTAATTTTGTTGATAAACGAACTTGTTCTAAACGTGTATCTGGTAGATTAATACATATTTGTTGACCATATGGTATACCATGAATTTTTGTTATAAATTGTTCCGGTTTTGAAGTGATATTTGACTAAAATATTAAACAATAGAAAATGTTAAATTTGAAAGAACTGCTCACTAGTGACTGACTTCAGGAGTTCTAGTGAGAAGCCGTTACCAATGGAGTTCAACCAGGTCTGTTGTGAGATATCAACTCACTGAAGACAATGGTGTACGGTGGCACAACTTCGTGAAAGAATATTTATTTAAACGAATAAACATTGGTACAAGGAGGCAGTAAATAGACATGCGTCACATAAATCATTCGATTTGTGCGAGGGCTGGGACCTGGAGGGCTAATCCACAAGGTAGTGGAGCAACGTTGGATGTAGTCTCATGATGGCAGGTAACTAACAATAGGTTCATACGCATTTTATTCCCTCAAGATCCTGGAGCCCATGTGCACCAATGGTTTGAAATGGTGGTTTTCAAACTCCCCTAGGTGGTCCCTCCGTGTCCAACAATCCGGTTACAGCGCTGAACATTCGCCTTTCGTCTTCTCAATTTCGTGAATAACAGTTGCTGTGAGAAGGCAGTGAGTAGGACTTCCCTGATAGTGGCTGTATACCTGTGGCCATCTGAGTGTTTGGAGTGGGAGAGCTGACTCTTCCCATCCTTGACCGTACCAAAGCATTTGGGGGATATCAAAAGAATGAATAATACTTGGCGACAACTAGAAACGAGATATCAAAGCAGAGTACGTTATAGAATCTTGGTCGGTGGCTTGTGCTCCACAAGAGGCAACATGCATAAGCAGGATACGTTGTGGTTGATGAATATTATCATCTGAATTCTTCAGTCATCATAAAATAAATATATAACGGTTTGTCATCTTCATATTCTGACTGACCATTTGAGATAGAAGCTGCACATACAAGTAACCGTTAGGATATCCGATCGCTGTTGGTAATCGTCTATGTAATTGGTTAAAGCAAAAATTATTGATATGATTAGCATAAAGAGTTCTCCCTAGTGAACTCTATAATCCAGTGACCCTATTTAGTGGCCATAACAGATCGGAGTTGAAACTGTTGAATCCACTGGATGTCAACTCATTAATCGAAATACAACGTACTGCTTGTTGATAAGTGCCAATTAGCACGAAGCTAAGGTCAAAAAGAGTTTCTTGTCAACTACATTTAACTATCAAACAGTATAATTGACCTTCAGACAAACAGTGGCTTAAAAATAGTCATTATTGAGGGTCATAGGGCTTGGATATGAGTAATATGTGTTCCAAATACCCAAATCAATAAAGGTTCATAGCCTCATCAGCTGCTTCTACTAAATACGATCAGTCCTTTCAGGATATCTGAGATTAAATACTAACTATTAATCCATATCTCCTATCTTCGAATGTCATGATTCATAGATATTCAGTAATACGGAAAGAAGCACACTATACTTACTTTGTTAGATAAAGAGCCACATTTCGCCCACCCCACAGATAACCCAAGTTGTCAATAAGTCACTTGAATCTTCTGCATCTAAACCAAGATCTTATCAACAGCCAATCCGTCGAGGTTATTAATACTTTGAGGATACAGTGAAGTATTTAACATACTCAAATGCTTTACTTCTTGCAGCAAGGCAAGACATTGGTGATAACCGGTCCAAAAGTAATAATCTGCAGTTTTAAGTCAACAACTGAATCCTAAATATACCGGTGTTGTTACTCATGGATTCTAAGTTATGTGGCTTTACCAGAGACAGACTTATGTTGTCTACATAACTCAAATTTATGAGACCATATGATATCTATTGAATAAATGTTAACACTTACCCAATCGAATGGTCTATCATAAACTTCTTGTGGAAGTATTAGTGCTAGTCGTGGTTCACCACAACGTTTTACCAGTTGATTTATTTGTTGTGCACCTATACGTGCTTCCATTGGTAACCAGTACACTGTCGCTGTATCACTAAGAGATAAGGATGGGGTGCTTAACTGAGAGAATGAAACGTGGTTAGTAGGTATTTTATCGGGTTGAAGAAATGGCGAAATTATTCGCCGAAGATGTACTTCAGGGCTACATAAACATTTTGAATTCCATTCAAACCTATTAAAAAAAGACGGAAAACAAAGAAATCATTTGTAGATTAGTGAAGTGTTAAGACACATGGAATCACGAAGGAAATGATCCACAATCCAAACTAATAACTATGAATAAGGCAGTCTAACGTACTTCACACATAAAACCAAGATGAGGGAGAAACAAAGATCAGACACTGAGGAAACACGGAGTTGACAAACACTGTTGTTTAGAACTCTGTGAGCTCAAATCACTCAATTATTTTCCATGAAAAATAAATGTTTAAAGATTGTTTCAATATAGAATGATGAATTTGTGCTTAAGAGATACCAGAGACGGTTAAACCCGACTAGTAACACAACGCTGACTAGAGTAGGAGTAGATTGAGAGAAAAAACCACTTATTGACTGTCGATTTCAATTATCATGTTTGCAGATGTAGAACACCTGGTCGAATTTAGTGTGATATTTCTGATCATCGATTCCAGACTTTAAGTGATATGGCTCAACTTCTATCGCAGTTACTCAGACATGTTTATTTTTCCAGTATCCTCCTAATTGTTAAGTCTCAATAATAGCTTCATTTTTAGTTTTTTATTATATCGTTTTAATGTGAAACAATATTCACTCTGTTTGGTTTCATTTATTGCTATAATCGATACTAACAATATTCCGACAACTACTTGCCGATATAATCCCTCACTCAGTGTAACAATGAACGATGCATATTTTAATTGTAACTAGAAAAGTATAAGGCTTTATCAATGAAATAAAGAGATATGGAGAGAACAATTTTATGTGTTGTATTAGAATCACAGTCTAATAACCAATCTAGTACGACCAAAATTTAAACAGTTAATGAGCTAATAACGAACTATAAGACTGGTAATAGTCATTGCAGAGAATTATTAATATTAAGATCATACTTAATTTATCAGTCAGGTATGATCAACGCAGGAACTATCATTCATTCAGTCGGTCATATTCAAAGTGGAACCTGACATATATGTACATCAGTTCAAGTTGTCATACCACCTCAGCATAGCGAGATAAAATTATTCCAAGACAAATTCCAGAGTAGTAGAAGTAGTAATAGTATTGGTATAGTAGGAAGAAAAAAAACAAGATTTGTGGATTCAGGATCTAAGGGAAGTCAAAGAGTGAACGAATTTTCAAACTGTGTCTGATCTTGATCACTGGGTTATAACGCAGTGTCTCAACAGTTGATTAGAAAATAATAGCGCGGACCGCCACCAGGTAGTTTGCGCTTGTGGTGTGGGTTACTTATATCCACACAAGTAGAATATAACAATGGTCAGGCATAGAATGTATTTCAGTAGAAGGTCGATGAGAAAAGAACGGAAACGGAACGCAATCGGTATGAAAACGCATGAACAATGAAATCTGAGACAATGGATTGATGTATGCAACAGGAACAGTCAAGTTTGAGATGATGGATTGATATTTTGCAAATTAACGATTTACTATATGGTTCTCAGATCTTAGTGAGATATTCTCTGATTTCATGTTCAAATACATTCAACTGTCACCACTCGTGTTCCTTGTTCACTACACGCTTACCTACACATCTCAGTCAAAGTCTGTAACTTTATGGGTTGATGACACGTCCCATTTTGGCCGCCTTTAGCATTCTTCCAACCTACTCTTACGCCAGACAACACCATCCACGGAGGTAAGGGGATGGCGCAGAATACACAGTAGATGCTTGGACCACATCAGTTGGTGAAAGTGCATTACCTCATTAACTGGTTGGTCGTCTTTATCTAATACCCTGTGCTGAACTTTAGTTTTCCTCACTCGGTGGTCCTGAAATAGACAAGAAATACTAAAAAGAGACCTGCGATCAAAAGCTAGAAACCTATGAATATCTTTTTATCTTAGTGGCCATGCTTCATACCCACAAAGTAGGACAGAGAAAATTGTAGTAAACGCTTCCTTTGATCGGACGATGGATATCTTTCCTACTCAACAAGTGACACAAGTTAGAAATGTCCAACCAAACTTTTCACTTAGTGCCAAGATCTCACCAGACAAACTCCTAGACGCAGAACCTGATGCATGAATATGTGCCGGCCTGATTGGTGGAACTCACTATCAATAAAGTAGAGGAGAAAGTTGACAAAATGAAGAGAGCACAGAGTAGGGCGAGTAAAAATCTGAAAAGTTACACATAAATTCAAACTACTGACTGTTAAAAACGTAGTATAATGTTTTATACACAAAAACCATACATATATATAGTGAATCACTTACGATGGTACATAATCACCAGATTCTATTAAAATGATTGAATTATGTGAAGGACTGCTTGTACGACCACTACTGCCGCCTGAACGTAAACCGCCATAAGCTAAAACACGGGTCAGGTGTACAGATGGTCCTAATCGAAGACTTGGATGACTGGCAAATATTAGACATGGTGAATTAGGCCAAATACCACCGCTGATATTAGGATTATTACTACTAGTATTCCGAGTTGAAGAACTATTCAAAGCTAACAGAGCAGAATCCAGGTTGTCCGAACTAGTAGATATCGGATTAGACGCGTTTGTACCACTAGTCGTTTCAAAATACCCGCCCGATGAGGAAGTTGAATTGCCGGTACCCAACAGAAGTGGTGATGTTAAAATATGACTCGAATATCTACTAACGGTAGATGAATCCGATAATAATTTCCTGCTACATGAACAATCGTATAAACTTTTTAAAGCGACTAATTTACCGCATTGTAGTAGCTAAACATGGAGTAAATAAACAATAATATTTTTATCAAATAAGAGTAAAATATTTCAATGGTATGATGGGGCAAGACGATCTGTAAATTAGTAGTCTTTTATTTTTTCCTCCCAACATATTATCTCTCAATGTAGTGATAAGTCAGGCACTTGAATACTTAATAATGGACTTTCCCCTACAATTGAACCTCGAAAGGAATCTCTACTTCTAAGGCTAATTTCAGCACAGAAAACAACAAGGATATTTATTGAGTTAATGGGGAAAAGTGTTAACATGATTGGTAATTATAAAACAATTCATAGCCTTTCCGAAATTCCCTTGGGTGTGTTCTGTTGGACGCTGATTGGACAGTGATTTCGCCTTTTTCCCAACTTTAGAAGCCTTTTAGGAAAGGATTAGTGAAGGCTCTCGACCTGTATGATTTTAGGAGAGGGGAAGTTGTAAGAGTAAGGACTTCTCATAATTCATTGAGTTGTCAGGATTGATCGAGTATTATCGATCATGATTGTTACAATATATAGCAAATTGACTGGTTCACTGGAATCCAACTCAGTGATCTAAAGATAATACGCTCACCGTAAGCCCTAAGGATTTCGATTTTGGTTCCACATAAGATTGTGACTGTCCAGTCTCTAGTTCTTTCAGTTAATGTCTATCCATAATTCCAAGTATATTGCACATTATTTCTAATATGAAAACAGCAATTAACAACTTATTCTTAATTCATCATTATTTCTACTGTTCTTATCAACACCATTTTTATTGATCACACAGTGTTACCGTTTACTTAACATCTTAGAATTATTTTCGTAAAAAAGTTGGAAATAAAATAAGCGTTGTAAGGCATGTTGGTTTTTAATGAATACAAATGTGAAGTTAAGTGATCGTGTCACTCACATTTGGTTATTTAATACTTATAACTTTTGTCAAAATGATTGTATACGAAGATGATGAGACTACACGACAGTCTCACCTTGAAAGTAAGCAAACTTATACAATATTAGAGAAGACTTGAAGCTTTTACTACTTATGTTGTTTAGAATAATAATCAGAGTTTTACAATTATACTAATCAGCTTGAAAGATGTAACCTCAGCAAAATACTATCACTTAATTTCTCAAGTATCCGTAAAACGAGCAACCTACGTTACTGGAATATAGAGCTCAGCACCAATATAGATGGAACTTTATGATAACTCAAGTATCGATGTTTATCTAAATTATTTGAGACAAGTCGGGTTGGAGAACTGTAAGATTAAACTTAAGGTTCAAGGGTTAAGCTGTACTGCTAACAGCAATGTGGTATTAGAATAATAAATTAGTTTCCCTTACAAAACTAGTGTAGTGTCTGGTGCTATGCCAAGGCCAAATAGATTATTCTAGCTTCTGAACAGACCAATTAATCTGTTCCTCTTGAGTCACATCTTAACCCTGTCAATTATTCGCTTATAAACTTGACTGTTTTATGAGAGTGTGAGTATTGGTTACCCTATTCATAACATGTGTTTAGCTTATCTTTTTCTGCCTATAAATAGTGAGTCACGCTTTATCAAGAGGAGTTGGTACACTTTCCTTTTCTGCTTCGCTTCACTTTCCCACTTATCATTCTTAGTATCTGTCTGAATAAACAATTGCTTCAAACAAATTCATCCAACTCAAACCTTATTTGGCTAATTATTAACGGCGTCGCACAAATCGGGTGTAATATACGGAGTTAAAATAGAAGATTTATATTCATGGCATATTCATACATTTCCTCAAATCAGATTCAGATCAACAGGCCACTAAACCAGTATCTCCGACAATGCTGTCTTACTACAATGGAAGGAGAGGTTTGAAACATTTGGTCCTGAAAATCCCACATCCTACATTTTCCCACGGATTTAAGACATTGGAAGTAAGATATTTAAAGTACAGTACCGACTTACAATGAGGTCGCGTGTGATCGGTTTCAAATAACTGTCACTTGTTCGACTGCTCATTTAAATTTTAATCAAATGGGCTTGTTGAATATTTTTTAAAGATACCTTAGTTAAATACGAGCGGGATAGTACTTCGCAAAAGAATAAGATTGATATATTCTAATAAAAAAAGAACAGAAAACTACGTATATCCTACAATTTGTACTTACAGATTGGAAAAGAAATGGTGCATCGGCATTATATAGAACAGATTCTTTTACTGAATTCAACCATTCACCATAAGCATTAGAATATGCTAAACTAACATGAACTTGATTGGATATGAAAAATATTGGAGAACGTGCCACCAAACCAGATGATGATGATGAACTGACTGTTGTCTGTGCAATTGTTGCCGTTGTTGTTGCTGTTATTGATGAACTACGATTGCATGTTAAATCTATCTCTGTAGATGTAGTTGAATCGGAAGGAATTCTTTGTAATGAATGACTATTCATTGTTCCTACAGATGTAGTAGTAGCAGCAGTACTGCTACTGCCAGTAGAATTAGTAGTATTTTCAATATGATCTACATTATTTCCAGATGAAGGACGATTATGCATGAACAATGGTAGGATTGTACCATTAAAATTATCTTTGGCCTGAATAGCTGTTTCAAGCAAGTCGAAGATAATACCGGATGGATTTGATGGCACTAAGACATTACCTCCATGAGCTAAAGTTTGCACTATGTTTTACCATACATTGGGAAGGGAGAAAATAAGGAAAAAAGTGAGGAAACAATTGAAATAACATAAATAAATTTCATAACATATTGGAGGTCAACAGGCGTGTTTCGTCCTATTTACGAGTCATCATATGGGGGTGCCTCCATTCAAGTGTTGATATTCACGCGAGAACTTTGACCTGGAACTTCATGTCTCAAACACCCAATGCGTTATTTAATGAGTAAATGATCCCACTCACCGCTACCGGGTTTGACAACGGCTAGTCACTATTCGACTTAAGTGGAAAACAAGTAACTAAATGGTAACATCGAGGCAATCCGCTCAGGATGCACATACATCATCATAGACTAATCGATTGCGGTTCTTAGCCTCAACACATGGGAAGATACAAAACATTACAAACACGATCAGAAAATAGAAATATGAATGAATAGAAGTTGACCGACTGTAACAATCTTTCACACTCTATTGTTAATAACTAGACTCTATCAACCACAAGCAGGATTATAAACCCATTAAACTAAGGTGGTTATTTTACAGAGGTGATTTTCTATAGACGAATCGACCTTGTTAGATGATTGAAGGTAGTCAGCAAGAAACCCTGTTCAACCTAGATTTTGTGCTGGTTGGCATTCGAGGTTCCATCCACTTAATACTACACAGCATGGTGCCCCCAAATGCCTTGGTGCGGCCGAGGGTGGGTAGAGTCAGCTCTTCCTCTCAATATGCTCATATGCAGTACAACTGGAAGCCGAGATTTTTCTATCACTAGACTCAATACTCGATTAACAGGCTATACTAGACTGGGTCATGTTATACCAGATTCCAAATTCAAGACTAAATATATCTAACTAGAATATAGGCTAGACAACACTTTATTAAACACAATTACAAGCAGTTTACACTCATCGAGTCCAGAGTAGAACTCAATAATAAGAAAGAAACCACAAATTAAATGGTCCGTAAGCTGAGTCTTTTAGTTCGCGCTCAGTGGACAATCATTCAGTAGTCACATATGACATCATAAGCCGACTAGTGTTGAATAACTTCAAGCAAGAAACGCATTATATTCCTTCATACTGGATGGTTGACAGACATTCGTTTTCGACATGATATGAGAAAGTCTTCAGTCCTATTTCATGTCAGCGGTCATGCCATGAGTTTTCGCCAATAAGGCGTCTCAAGAAGTTATTTAAATGAATGAAGGTGTAAACATATGACAGTTAAATAATTCTTAGGAAAATTATATACTATAAAGTGGTATTGTCTATTTTCAATTCTTTAATGTTCGTGATTATATTAATATTCGTTAACAGGCATAATGATGTCGTTGAGTTTACAGGTAAACGTATCAAAATCTAACTGAGATTCACAAGAGCCTTATTTGTCATGAGTAGTAGTATTTGAACAATTTGGTCTTTTTGAATTCCATGTGATGCCATATTACTTGATCATTTAAATGATGTCCAATTTCTACTCTCATTTACAGTAAATAAGCAACAAAAATTATTGATTTAAAGTGACATCGAAATATTAGTTGCATAAAAATTTTCATAGTTTATATTACGAACTGTTTTTAGTTAAACCACTATTGAAAACCTAGCAGCACTGGACGTCCGTCTTGTCCTTTTGTGAGACTCTTCAGAAATGAAAATCTACGACCCCACATCTGTGAGTCGAACCTCGGATCTTCGATCTCGAGTACGAATGCTAAGTCTTTAGATTACTGAGTCGGAACCCCGCAATGTACGTGTCTAACTTTAATAATTTCACAATACTGCGAAATATTGAGGAGCCCTACTCAAAGACGAAACGACTATCGAGCGCTTCCAGGTATCCAAAAGTAGTCTGACTACGATCAGTTCATGATTTAAATTATGACAATTCAACATTCTCCATAAACTATTCTATACAAATAAGCATTTATCGCTATCATATCAAAATTTATTTAAAAATTACCAACGATATGACAAAATTCTTCTACAGTCTTTTCCAATTGATCACTTGCATACATATTGACAGTACCAATAATCAAAACATCAGTATCTTCAAATGTACTATCATCGAAAGGCTGTAAAATACAAACATTAATAATATTAAGTCAATCTTAAACAATACTATGGAATAACATTGTATAATCAGTCAGTTATAGCCAAATAAGAAAGTGGCATGAATTTGCAATTATTCAAGTTACCAAAGTATACATTAGTACAGCGAGATGAAGTCATCATGGCAAATACCAGAGTAGTGTGAATAGTTACAGTGTCAGTGATATAAAAAAGACTAGGTATGAATGATATGATACAAGAAGAATGAATCCATGGAATAAAAATTATAAAACAATAGTTTGCTTCGCACTAGTGACCAAGACAATAATTGTCAAGTTCATGGCCAAGTGAAGATCACGATTACGAAACAGCGAGCACTGTAGATCAATATGAAATCTGGATTATCCAACGAAATCTTGGGGATAGATATAGGTGGACCATTGGGAGAGAAAACAAAAGAATAGGTACATATATTGGTCAAGGTAGATTATTTCACGAAATGGTGCAAAGCTGTTACCCTGGAAAGAATTGATGCTGGCGTGGTAGATAAGGCATTTTTTGATAATCGTGTATATAAAGAACTCTTTAACCGAGTCTCCTTTTAACATGACAAAATATCACGAAGATTGTTTTGTACGGGCCATTAGCCGATGGAGACAGTTATTTTACTGCTTTTATCGTTGTATCTTCTTTTTAACTAATGAGAACGAATCAACAGTTTGGAATTCATCAGGAAGGTCTTCATGCTGCATAATCTGCAGCTTTAGCAACCTCATTATATCCGTAACGGTTTTCCTTCGTAGCATACTATCAAGTAAGGAGAAAAAGACCCGTCTAAATTTACATACACAATTATTGACGGTTTCAATCAGGTACAGAAGATATGATTAGTTCAGTATTGGTTTTTTCTGTCAGCCAATGGCAAAACCAGCCAACTTCCCACACAGCAGCCTCATCTAGGTGCCAAAAGCTCTATTCAAAAACCGTCACATGATATCTCGTATAATATTGTGCAACAGCATGACATCATCTATAATCTTAAACATATCATCAGTGAATATACTCTACTGAATACTTCGATGACAAATTTTTCGAAGTTCGAATAAAAAATGGCTGTACGTGTTGTTGATTTCTCCATTCAAATCCAATAGTTACATATTTGCACAATAACATATTAAAAAGCACCATTGTTATTATTGATATTATAAGCTTACTAGGACATGAGAATATAACAACGATGTGTGTGATATATAAGCCACCTATGGAAAGGAAAGAAAAAAAAGTTAAACTTGTCAAAATGACATAAGAATCAATTGATTGCTTGGACAAAAATACAAAGCGATTACTATGAAGTTTGTAATGTCGTACTATTGATATAAAGGATTGTAAATTATCCTTGTCGAGATAGCTCAATAGATAAAGCATTGGGCATTTGAAGTGACGATCAAGTCAATATATGAACACTAATACTGGGATGCAAGTGTTCACCTAGTTGATGAGTCCAAAATAGGATTAAACGCACGTCTCGTATTTCACTGCTAGTCACATATGGGAAATACAAAGTCCATCTGCATGTTAGATATTTGGATTTGAATGATAAACGGTTTTCCAACAGGAAATCTATACATGTATATTATCTTCCCCTTGTACCTTTGTGTCAAATTTCTGTTTTAATTTAAATCCGATTCTTTAATGAACGATGGGATCATTGAGTGTGAATTTATCAAAGACTAAGTTAATCAGTCGCAACGTGAAACCTAGTACGTAGTAACATCAATTCATGTTGCCACGACTCATTAGCACAGACATATTAAATTGTCAGGCCAAATCTCAGAATAGTAGAGGTAGTAACAGTGTCAGTGCTAATAGGAAATGGTTAGGTATCGAAGATACCATTCAAGAATATATAATTAGTGAAATAAATACAAGAAAAAAATTATGAGGAATTCAGTGGACTAGAATCATGGAAAAGAGAGAGAATGGATGAACCTACACCACTGCAAACGATTTTGAGCCATGTTATTCAAAGTCTCTAACCACTAGTTACGATGATCACGCGGACCCTCACTATGTAGTCTATACCTACTAACATGGCTAGGTTCAACTGTCAGTGACTTCATGGACTGATACCATGTTTTAGTTCGGCCGCCTCTAGCCTTCCTTTAGCCTACTCCTGCACCGAAAAACATCGCCCGTCGAGGTAAGCAGTGGTTAGGCATACGCAACACGTACCCAAACCGCCTTAATTAATGAAGATTTACTATCTCATCAATTGGTTTCCCATCTTTACCTAGTACCCTATTTCTAAACCAGAAATTGCTTACTCCGCGGTCCCAAAATACACGAGCAGTACCTCAGAAACATTCATGATCAAATACTATAAACCTACGAATATCCACTATTCTTAATGGTCAGTTTTTACATCCGTAAAGTGGAACGCAGCAAACCGCCACACAGTAAACTCGTCGCTTACTTGGTAAAAAAGGGGATCGCCCGAGCCAAAAGCAACGAGACTCGGCAAAAGCCAATCGAGCCTTCTAGATCCGTGCTGAGATTTCGTCAGATACCAGACCATCAGGAATGATGAGATTCATGAAGTAGAGCAGTCGACGCATTCGACTGTTTCACTTCCTATTATTAATTCCGGAGCGGAAGCAAAAGTTTGTATTTGGAGGAAGAGAACCGTATTTCAAACATGCTTGGATTGTTGCTTAAGGTAGTGATTAAGTTAAAAACAATGTTACAAGATCATGTTTTATTTCCGATAAACCATTAAACATTTGTAGGGTCAAATGTTATGCAATTATAATCTTCAAATCAACCAACTATATACACAAATATCATTCATAAAAATCCAAAATTGAGCATAATAATAAAAAAAAGTGAGTGTACGGTTTATAATGACCCTTTCCAGTTAAGATAAAGAAGATTGATGATCACAAGCTGGTCAACTCTAAATCCATAGTAAAACAAATACGTTGAAAAAAACTCACTTTCTCCGTGCTCGATGTAATAATCCAATTACAACTGCCAATTCCATAGCCAGCACTTAAGCCTTTGATGGTTAATAAACCGAACAAATCCTGAAAATGAAGACATTTTTTCAACAAAAGATACTGAAATATATTCCATAAAATCTTACAAGTGGTTATAGTTAATGTCGAGCTTGAGAAAAATGTGCTTTAGTCCAAACTGACATACAACATCAGCACGATAAAATAAAATAATTGAGATGAATAATATAGGAATCGAAATAATGTAGCACAGACGATAATGAATAAAACTGAACATTGGGAATATACGTCAAAGAAACATGAAGGAAAGACATGTATGACGAAGTACTGGTATTCGAGATTTAAGGATAAAGAGAGAATCCAGTGTGATCGATCCTAACCCCTGTCACCCAACTTCTCTAACCACTGGTTAAATTTTACAGCCAAAAAGTAGAATAAGATGAACTGCTGTGTAGTATACTCATTGTTATATAACATCGTTGGTTATATAACTATTATTAGTCAGTAATCGTAAACCTACAGAATTCAGAGTTTACTGTCAGCACATATAAATAAGAAAATATTGATATGGTACTAAATAATTTACTAATCAAAAATGATAAATTTCTGACTATGAAATGAACAGTCAATACAAAATTAAACTCAAAAAACATCTATATCTCAAATAAAACATTTAAAAATACACATAAACCAAGAATTGAATACTGAAATTACCACAGGTTCATGATAGGCGACTAGATGAATTTTATCCAAGGCTTTCACAACTGATTCACGAGTGTAGAATTTAGTCCAATTAAACTCACCAGAGTTAAGTAAGTAGTCTATTGGATTACTAGGTTTACTAATTTAATTTTTTAAAAATGTAAAGAAAAGGGGAAAATAAAACAAAATAATGATCAAACTTCTTTAAAATATTTACCTTTAATAATATTCATACATTATAGGCTTAATTAACTCCGCCTGGAGCCCCTCTAGGGCTACTGCCGGTCCCAAGCCCGGATAAAGGAGGAGGGTTGGGGATGGGGTTAGCGACCTCATCTCGTAGAAAACTAACTCGCTGAAAAACGCTAACCAGTAAGTAAGTAGTAGGCTTGATTAAACCGATTGATTTACGTTTCCGAAATGATAATTACATTCGAACGAAAATCCCAATTATGACACAGGATTCACGTTTGTGGTTAACTGTTATTTAACGGAGTACTACAAACCAATTTACAAAGAGGTAAAATCTAGCTGAGAATTTAATTTAATGGTTTCATCAGTGATGGTGAACTATGGCTTCAGAGATCTAGATATCGGTGTCCAAGTTTCCTTTTTCAAACTATGGGGAGAAAATTGTGAAGTTATATCAGATTTTTGCGGCGAAATAAAGCACCAACTTAATTCAAATATTAAAATTGAACTTTTTATCATTAAGTTATAGACTTGAACAGTCATTTATTGAGCCTAGTTTGTGCAGCTGAATACTACTTTTAGCTTTCACAACAACAATTGCACTTCAAGGCAGGTAATCGAGTCTGTACTTCGTAGTAGTGATTACAATGAAATAATTTTGAGACACTGCTCAAAGTTTCTCACAACCAATTAAAAATGGTTTCAGCCCTCAACTTTCAACTACTTAGTATTAGGTTTGAAAATCGTTTTACCTATTTCAACTTGAGTAGACATCATACAAAACTGTGGGCCAAAGCCTGTACTTAGTAAATAAAGCGAGTTAGTCAATAATAAACCGATCTGTATTTCATGTAATCATGGGTCATTATTATTAGTTAAACATAAACATTGGTACAAGTAGGCACCGAATACATATGCGCCACATTCGTTCGATGTGTATGAGGGCTGGAATACTGCCTGGATGTCCAAACCGAAGCAGGTGGTTTTCTTAGGGGGTCACATCCCGAACCTTTGACCTAGATCTAATTCACAAGGCGACGTAAGGATGCGCACTTTCATTGTAGCAGGTGACCAACAGTAGCTTTACACACCCTTTCTTTCCTTGGGATCCTGGAGCCCATGTGCACCACTGGTTTGTAACCAGAGTTTTCCAACTCCCCTAGATGGATCTTCTGTATCCACAAACCCAGTTAGAGAGCCGGACATTTGCTTTTTATCCTCTTAATTTCGTAAACAATACCCCTGCTGCGAGAATATAGTGGGTAGGACCTCGTTGGTAATGGCTGTGTACCTGTAGCCATGTGAGTGTTTAGAGAAGAGGAGCTGACTCTCCCCACCCTCGACCATACCAGGGCATTTAGGGACCATCATGGGTTACATGAACGGACTATAAATCTGTTGTTCTAAACACACCGAGATTTATTTCAGTCTGCTTCCACGTCAATTAGTAAATGATATAGATGTAACAAAATAGTTTGTAGCTCAGTTATAAAACTCAAAATCAATAACATACAATGAAGTTCAGACAACAAGATGGCATGAGAAGCCTCACCCATACACACCCACACATACATATGCACATAAAGTACTTCAAGATAAACTTACTTCACTTTAGCATCGGAGTAGCCAAAATTGACTTCAGATTCAAACAACTGATCAAGTTCACATAATAAATCATCTATTAATATTCTAAGTAAAATCTCAATAATCTTTTCTGAAGAAAAAATCTCAATTATTACTTTCCAAATTTTACAACTGGCTCAGTTGCAAAAACTTTCCCACGAAAATTCGTATTTTCAAATAGAAACGGTAAACCAAGGATGCTTCGTGTATTCGACACTAGAATTACATCAATAGTTTCCCAAAATATGGAAGACATCTAGAATTATTAATAATTTTAAAATAATGTTTGAAATTTACAAATAAACTAAAACCTCTGATAATTTTAACATGCAAAATTTGAAATCCGTACTAATATAGTTCATATCGTCTATTTTGGTAAACTAAAATGTAAAAAATAATTATGTGCATGATAGAAACGTTACATAACAAAGAACTAACCATTCCGCCTTCCTCATGACCACTCCACATATTTGGTAGGTCGGAACAGCCTGGACTAAAAGCATCAATACACTACAACTAATAAATATGAAATACAGACCTCATAAGCTGATGTTTTGGCAGGAAATATGACAAATTCGACAAATCCATACAACAATCTAGCAGCAGATTAACATCACGAATATGCAGAAGATAGCAAGGGCTATGAACATCAGTATTCAAACGCCTCTAAATTGAATCAAACATCAGAGAAACAGATAGCAGGTCACTTACAAGTATGAGTTTATTATCATCTGTATTCGCCATAGTTTTACAGCTATGAAGCCCTTACTTCAGATGTATGAGAACTTGTTTTTTTAGGATGGCAGTTATTCTTTAGACAATTATTCCGTTTAAAGATACAGTAGCATTCTTATCAGGATGATCGTTCAGTATTCAAATAATGATGAAAATACGCAGCACTTTGAATACTTTTCTTGATGACCGATACCTGAAAAAGAAATCTAACATAATAAATGGTTTTCAGGAAGTTGTATTGACTTACATCAATGATACGCTTTCAAATTCAAAGAACTAACGAATTATAAACAACTACTAATCAACCAAGCATAAGGACTATTTTAAAGTGATATTAATAGTCGTATTCAGACTAATGTACTAGACTGAATCACAAGTTGCGTGTAGTCTGCTGTTAGCTCCGATAAATCCATGTCATCTAGGAAATGGTGACTGAATTACTTATCTAACGAGAAATCAGGCCGTCAAACTGTTGACCTACAAGTCTATATGTTTGCACCACATAGATGACGGCACGTATGGTGCAAAAACTAACAAGATTACTGCAATACCGCTCATCACACTAGTTATTTATGAAAAAAGATAATTTGTAAACATCAACTAGTAGTCAAACGGAGCACAGTGACCAATCTACAGCGAACAGGTGGGCATTCTCGGTTTTGAAGTATACTACCGATGAAGCCTATCTATACTCTCCGGTTTTTAGGGCCGAAGTGGCTGAGAAAGTATTTAGAACTAGAAACTAATGGTTGTTGAAATTCATATCCAATAAACCAATGCCCATTAGACAACACATGCAACTAACAACTTTAACCCTAAAATATACCTTCTACAACAGAATTCGAAATAGTAAGAGAGTTAACGGAAGGTGTCTCCAAGTGACTACCCATAGCTTGTGTTACTAAAGACACTTTACGCATTAGTCAAACGAAAACTCCAGCATGACACAAGCGTTTCAATTAAATCAACAATCAAGTATCATTTTAAATTTCGACGCCAAATAAGCTTGATAAATGCAAGTAATGAAAGCCCGATAAGTGGATTTAATATAAGATCACTGCATTCAGGTGCTTATCTTTTGGCAACACGTGTTATTAGGAATAAATCATTAGAAATACGGGAAATATCCTGCAAAAGCACTACTGAAAGGGCAAAGTGCAGCGTAGATCTAAATAAGAAGGCGAGACTAATGAGACATTTTGTTACGAAACCGCGACTGCTACAATTTCAAAATTTACATTTTTGATGTTTATACATCACAGGTACCTGTGATGTGGAAGCGTAACCACATACTATTCAGAAAAAATGAAAGTGATGGCTAAAAACTATAAGTTTACTCTAAATACCGATACTATGCACAGATTTTTTTCTGTAAAAATAGTCGGCGACCTTAAACACCCAGCAAGAAACATGCTTACAAACTACCGCCACTAAATCGTGAGATGTCCTTCAAATGTTTCAAATGATTCAAATGGTTGTGGACGGAATAGAAGAAGCTTTCGCTTAACAGGCTTCCGTGTCTAGTAGCAGGGGATCACCAAATCCTCCAGGCAGGAACCTAGGTATGTTAACAATAAAAGAGGAAAAGAAATTGGTAAATCATAGTGTGATGGCCAGGCTGATTTCTTCAATTGTTGGTGGGTCAACATTGATTGGGATGTCCATGGGTGCTGCTTCGATATTGGTTGGGTTCAGTGGAACTGGTTGATTCAAGAGTTCATTGAAGTGTTCTACTCACCTGTTTCGTTGCTCTTCAATGTTGGTGATTACCTCGCCTTCCTTGCTTTTCACTGGTAGTTCTGCTTTGCGGCGGTTTCCAGAGTTTCTTTGTCGTGTCGTACAGTTGTCTCATGTTACCTTCTCTTGCAGCCTTTTCCGCCGTCGTTTACTAATGACTTATAGCATCCTAATCACTATCGATCACTATCTCAAATACTTAATTAGGCTCGGTTACAGTATAAAATTTATGAGTAATACCTATAAATTGGGGACCTAACATAGCAGAATAGACTGTGGGTGTACCCACCCCTTGGAAGTAGTTAAATTCTGAAATTCTCTATCAGCTAAGGTGGTTCAAGAGATTTTTAGGAGTACTTCAAAAGGAAAATTGACATTTTCTTAAGGACACATGGTAGAATTTGAAGATGCCATACGTATTCGGAGTTTGACAACACCTTAACCAGTAACAGGTTTTATATTCGAATCATGCAAACGCAGTCTGATCAAAAGTCAAAGCGAAGAGGTTCGAAGATATACTTGATGGAATATCGATAAGTGATTAGTCTAAACTGACAAGTTGTTGTAGGAGATGTGTGTTACAGCATACTCACTCGTGATCTGGTGTAAATTCGTGACAAAGCGTTTTACGCTAGACGAGTTCAATGAATTAATATGGTCATTATAAAATGTCGAAGACTTACGGAGCTACTGTAATTTGGGATTTAAATACTGCCACACATCATAGCTTACCTATATTTCTTCTTTGTCTGTTAAATTTACCCAGGGTCCTACTTGGGAATATTAGTGGTCAAATGCTACTAGATACGGAAGCTTATTGTGCAAAAGCTATTTCCATTCCTCCTACAACTATTTGAATCACTTGAACCATTCGGAGTGAGCGCAAAGCGGTCAGTCGATTTATACAGTCTTGCCACAAAGATTTCGGATATTGGACTCCAATTACTTAACCTTTACCCATTAGAGTATGGGTGTCTTAGAGGTGACCTTCTTATGGCTTACAGTATCCTTAAAACTTCTGGACATCCTCTTAAACACCTACTTAAGCTTAGTTCGAATAATAACCTAAGGGGTAACACCCAGAAAATGGAAACTCAAATGGTTCAAATGGTTCAAATGGTTGTGGACGGAATAGAAGAAGCTTCCGCTTAACAGGCTTCCGTGTCTAGTAGCAGGGGATCACCAAATCCTCCAGGCAGGAACCTAGGTATGTTAACAATAAAAGAGGAAAAGAAATTGGTAAATCATAGTGCGATGCTGTCCTTGGTCCTTAAGAATAGGTCAAGTTGCCTCTTGAAGGACTCCTGAGAAGTCGCTTGGACTAGCTCGGCCGGCAGCGAGTTCCAGCTTTTGACAACTCTTAAGGAGTAGAAGTTGTGTCTACATTCCGTCTTGCTATGTTGTGTTTCCAGTTTCTGGGTGTTACCCCTTAGGTTATTGTTCGAACTAAGCTTAAGTAGGTGTTTAAGAGGATGTCCAGAAGTGTTAAGAATACTATAAGCCATTAATAAATCACCTCTAAGACGCCTATATTCTAGTGGGTAAAGGTCTAGTGAACGGAGGCGTTCTTCGTAAGGCTTAGATTTGAGTCCTCGAACTGATTTCGTGGCTCGCCGTTGGATACGCTCCAAAGTGACCTTATCCTTTTGGAGTGAGGGGGGGAGTACTATGTTTCCGTACTCTAAATGGGGACGGATGAAACTATTGAAGATTGTGTGGAAAGTTCTTCCGTCAAACTGACCAAAAATGCGCCTCAACGTTACCAGTGCAAGGTTTGCTCGGAAGGCATTTTTGTCACAGTTAGTGTAAGACTTTAAGTCATGGGACACCAGGACTCCTAAATCTTTTTCGACTTGGGATACTACTAGAGAGGAGTTTCCTAAGTTGTAACTGTAGTTTGCGACATGTCGCAGATGGACTACTTTACACTTAGAAGTGTTGAAGGTAAGTCCGTTATCGTCTGCCCAACTATGAAGTCGAGTCAGATCCTCTTGAAGTGCCTGTATATCGTCTTGGTTGCGTATCTCTCTCCAAAGTTTCACGTCGTCGGCAAAAAGTAATAAGTCTGACGTTACCTGTTGAGGAAGATCATTTATGTAGATCAAGAAGAGAAGAGGCCCTAGTACTGAGCCCTGGGGGACCCCACTAGGACATTCCATAGCTTGAGATAAAGTGAAATTAACCCTAACCTTAAAGTGTCGATTTTTTAGGTATGAAGTAAGCCAGTCGATTAGAGGTGGTTTGATACCTAGTCGTTTGAGCTTGTTGATAAGACACAAGTGGTTAACCTTATCAAAAGCTTTTGAGAAATCAAGGTAAATGACATCAACCTTTCCCTTGCGATCGAGGATGCTTGTCCATCTGTCCACCGCAGTCAGCAGGTTGGTTATACAAGAGTAACCCTTCCTGAAACCATGCTGTTGGGGTGTTTTTTTTTTTTTTTTTTTTTTTTTTTTTTTTTTTTTTTTTTTTTTTTTTTTTTTTTTTTTTTTTTTTTTTTTTTTTTTTTTTTTTTTTTTTTTTTTTTTTTTTTTTTTTTTTTTTTTTTTTTTTTTTTTTTTTTTTTTTTTTTTTTTTTTTTTTTTTTTTTTTTTTTTTTTTTTTTTTTTTTTTTTTTTTTTTTTTTTTTTTTTTTTTTTTTTTTTTTTTTTTTTTTTTTTTTTTTTTTTTTTTTTTTTTTTTTTTTTTTTTTTTTTTTTTTTTTTTTTTTTTTTTTCTGCAGTTTCCGGAACACCAAGTCAGCGCTTAGGCCCACTTCAGAAAGTCCTGTGGAATTGCAGATGAAACTGTCGTCAATAAAGTTGATATCAGCCGGTTGAAATTTTTGAGAGTAATGGGCCGCCAGAAGGTTAGCGGCGTCGCCATCGTTGTTGGTCGGGCCGTTAGGACCTAGCAGTTGAGAAACTCCTGTTTTGGCTTGACGAAGAGAGGCTGCATAACGGAATAGGCTTCTAGGGTTAGAGGCGAATTTGTCCATAAGCTTTGTTTGGTACTGAAGCCTGTCTTCTCTTATAGCCTTCGTGCATGTGTTCCTGATATGTTTGTATTGCCTATACGCTCCATCGTTATTAGTTCGTTTGTATTCCGCCCAACAGTGCCGTTTGCGGCTTAGGAGGCGAAGGGTACGGTTCTTGATTACTGTAGGTGGCTTGAAGCTTTTGGGAACCGTTTGAGGAACTGAATGGTCTGTAGCACGTAAGAGCGTGTGCAGCAAGAAGTCCCAATGACCATCCACATCGATTTGAGGGTGAACATCCCAAGCCACCTGTTGTAGATGGTCATGTAGAGCTCGCACATTCAGCCGTTTAAAATTCCATCGCAAATTATTGTTGGGATACCTTAGCTTAGTTTTGATGACAAAACTGAAGGCTATGACGGCATGATCGCTTTTTCCCAGAGGAGCCAGGATTGAGAGGTTGTCGACTAGGAATTCTTCGTTAGTGAATACACAGTCTAAGCGCGATGGTGTCTGACTGTTTCTCCAACGAGTTGCCGACCTCACATTTTCATATAAGCCCAAGTTATCGATGAGGTTGAAGAACCGAGCTTCAGTTGAGTTGTCGCCTCCAGTGTACGTGTGTTCCGCGAAGTTGACTCTAGGGAGATTAAAGTCCCCTAGAATCAGGATGTGTGTGAAACCGAGACGGATAGAGCGGGATAGTCCTTCCAGCATACGACTATCGTACTCGGTGTCGGCAGTTGGCTTCCTGTAAATGACTCCGACTAGACACCTGGAAGTACTAGACAACCTTACAGAGCACCATATGGATTCCTCAAGATTGTTAAACTCGAGGTTGTGAACCTGGTGCACCTCCAAGCAAGAGCTTATGTATATGGCTACTCCGCCCCCAATTCCTATTTTTCTGTCGTTGCGGAACAAAGTCATCCCAGGCAATGCTAACTCTTGATCCGAGAACTGAGAAGATGTCCAGGTTTCAGATATTCCTATCAGATGGGCCTTGTTAGCGTCGCTAAGTTCACGTAGTTCATCCAGTTTGTTTGGTAAACTCGCGGCGTTCGTACATAAGCAGTTAATGCTTTCAATTTGGAACGCATGAGCTTCGTCCTGTTTTTCTGTATGAACCTTATGTGAATGGACAGGTAGCCCACCTATATGAGGTTTGCCAAGGTGGTAGGCCCTGTCCATTACACGATTTTTTTATCGTTTAGACAGTCCACAAGTGGAATGGTCAGCTCCAGCTTGCCTTTGTTCTTGGTCCTGACTTCGTATGGCCTATCCGGGTGCATGTGGATTCCAGGTGGCAATCGACGTCTATTAGCACGAAATGCTTCCAGAACTGCAGCCGCCATGTGGGAAGATGGGAAGGTTATCTTCATTAGACGGGGTCTAAGATCACCGTCCTTCTTGGCTAGTCTCGTCACATGCTGAGTCAGTATGTGTTTGAGCCTCAAGGACTGTTTGATGAATTTCCATTCCCTGATGTCAGAATTTGATTGAGTAGGGTCTGCATTTTCCGGTATACCTTGGACAATTATGTTTCTTCCGCGGAATAACTTTTCGCGAGATTCTTTAGGGACGTTTCGTATGATATTGCGCTCAGAGTACGGTATGTCGGGCAATATTCTTACGTTACCATCTGATTTCAGTAAGTGACTTGCTAGCAAGACGTCCTCTACGTCGGTAGCATTCTTAAGTGTTACTCGGAGAAGCCTCGGGTGATTTAGATGCTTAGA